AACAAATAAAATGAAAATCGAGGCAGAATAATAGCAATGTTGAACAAAAGGAAACTGACTTATACTTCGACATCCACCTCTTCAATGAAGCAACTAAGGAAACAACAATAACAACCATCACAACAGCAGGAGCAGCATTTTTATGTTCTCCACTAACAATAACTTCTCTTGGTAGTGTACAGAAACTCGCATCACCTCCACGACCACACATGCATGCGGAATAGAACAATACCACACGGAAACAAGATTAACCACACTTCAAAAGAAACATCATAATAAATCTGGAAGCAGAGGAAGCATCCTATCCAAGTGCTAAAAATGCAGCCAAAACAGGGTTCCAAACTGAAAAGCCTGAGAAATAAAATAAAATCTTCCCTTGAGTCCAAAGGTCTATAAAGAAGATGCCAGACAAGTTTCGTTGGGAGCAGTTCCACAACCAAAGGATCCCTTCAGTGAAAAGGTCTTCTGTTTGGAGCCGTCTGCTGTTGATTTAATGATTTTGGGGTCCAAACAGGTTCAGGGAACAACCTTTCACTTGTTTGTCCCTGCCACCATCTCCCCTAATGCCGGTATTGTCTGTCTGGTGTCATCAAATGTTTGATTGTGAGTTCCTCAGGCCAGAGGTCTGCCTTCTTCTACTTGGTAAAATGTCATGAGAATCTTTTGTGAAAAATGAATGAAGACGTAAGAAGAGCCTTGATACCATTAGAGCAGGGAGGGGCACGACCTGTTCCCAACCCTGGCCAGCAAAATGCAACTTCCCCCAGTTCCAGTGAATGCCTCCCAGCCAAGCTGTGAAGACTGACACTTGCACCCACGCCATGCAGGATCAGACTCGCGTGCTCAAAGCAACCACTGCCCTCCTTCAACCTCCCAAGCAAAGATACCAGAATCAAACATCCAAACAAGCGATGGTTCTTTTCACAAAAGGAATAGTATCCAGGGAGGGAGAAATCTTGTAAAGAGAAATTAACCAGGGCCATTAATCAGTCTGAGGAAATGATGGGAATTTCTGTGAAAATTCTTCTCCTCCTCCTCCTACATGTAGAAAAGTATCACACAAGAAAAGCTGGCTATCCTCATATAACTAGTATCCTATGTATCTACATACAGGAGGTTATTAATTCATTTCATGTAGTAATGTAAGGAAACTTTCAAAGAAATATATATCCCACTCATGGCATGATCCCAAACTGTTGCAACATATAATGTGGAGTTTAGCTGCTCAAAATTGAAACTCAAACTTTGATTCATAACTGAACTTTGGAATATCTGTTGATTCAGGTGATGTATAGATTGCCCTGCAACAATAGCTCTCAGGACCAAGTAGACAAACTAATGACACAAATGAATCAAGCAAGTTAGCAAACAAGCAACAGACTAGCACATAATACACTACTGCAACAGTCAGTTTTAAAGAAGCAGAGACTAAGATCATAAAAAGAAACATTATCAGGGTTAATACCATCCTAAACATCATAAAACACACCGCAATAACACACACAGCTTTAATGGCTCTGAAAACAAAAAGGGCTTAGCCGGCAGCCTAAATATATTCAGGTAAGTACCAGTAAAAATGAAGAAAGCTGTCCATTTGATGTTAACTTCTCCTCCGCACCCACCCACAAGTCTGTGTTCCTTCTATCCCATTTCTGCATCCATTTGCAATTATTTTTTATGAAGCCTGAACAAAAATTCATATACAATTCAGACATATGAAAATCTGTGTAGTTTCTCTAATATACACATTGTTTTTCATAATATATGCATGATGTATGCCTTTGGGTATTCAATTTTCCCCAAGGCATGCCATTTTTGTATGCAATTTTTCCTAGCATATGTATTTTCTTACTGTATCATAAAATTTTGAGAAGTGTGAAAACAGAATGAAAATTGCATTCTGTTTTGGAAGGAGTGAGTGTAACTAGTTCATACTAAAATGGGCATTGGCAGGAATAGATGGGAAGAGTTTTTTTTGGACACTCAGGACCTGAGCCTGGAAGTGCATCAGCAGATAGAGCTTTCTGTTGCTAGGTGTGGAAGGAATGTGCAAATCAGCAAAACTTGAGCTTCCTGAAGCTTGCTGAGTTCCACCTTGAAGCTCATTCCAACTCAAGTCCATATCAGATTGCAAGTTTTCCATTTGTTCCTGCAGAATATTTTGTTATTTCCTTATTTCACCTTAAATTCCTCCCTCCATGCACACACACTTGTTTTCTTCCTTGTAACACACTCCCATTTACTGGTAGGACCGTGTTGAAGCACACATCAGTGAAAGCATGTGGAAGCACCAGTTGTCACAACAGCCCTCCCAGAGACAGAATCACTACACTAAGGTTGCACAAACAATGGACCGAGGAGACTCCATGGTGGGGGTGGCCTGCAACAATGGCAGCTGCGGCACACTAGAAGCCCTGTTACAAGAAAGGGGAAGAGCACTGGAGCACCAAGCGTCCACCTCCAGTTAATAAAAGAAAATGAATTTCTGGACAGAGTGGAAGAGCAGAAACAGCTGAGTGTAGTCGAGAAGCAAGAAGAGCATCAGCAAGTTGAGGCAGCAGCAGAGAACTCTGAGGGACGGGAAATGTGGAAACTTGATGGGACAGGGTGTTTGTAAACACTGCCCTATGAAGAAAGATTGAAAGAACTGGGCATGTTCAGACTTGAGAAGAAAAGACTGAGAGGGGACATGATATCCCTCAAAGGCTGTCACAAGAAGGAAGGTCGAGATGTTTTCTCAGTGCTACCAGAGAGTAGGAAATGGAATAATCAAGTCAAGCTGCAATAACCAAGATTCAAACTAGGGATCAGGAAATCTTCATCACTGTCAGAGCAATATGACGCTGGAACCAGCTGCCAGAGAGGTGGTGGGCTCTCCCACACTGGAGACATTCAAAAAGAAACTGGAGTGGGATGGGATATCTGCAGGGAATGGGCACTGGGCCAAGTAGACAAAAGGGAATAATGGGGGGACAAGGCCCATTGCAGAAGGATTCTTCACCAGGCTAAGGTTGATTATGAGCTGAGCTGAGACTTGCAAAGAATAATCAGAACAACAAAAAGGGCTTCCATAGCAAGAGAAAGGGAAGACAGGCAGTGGGACCACTTAATAAGGAGGAAGGGGATGCAGTGACTGATGTGAGGGAACAGGCAGAGATGCTAAATGACTATTTTGCTCCTGTGTTCTCTCCAAAGCAGGATGGGGCAGATCTACATGGGGAATCAGATGAGGCCAGCAATATTGGGGCACAGATTAGAGTCACCCCACTAGAAGTTGAGGTGGTCCTCAGGGCACTGGACATTACAAAGGTGTTGGGCTTTAATGGGTTATACCCAAGGGTACCTCAGGAGTTGGTGGGGGTTCTCTTGTGCCTGTTGGCCTCCCTTTCTGAAGCCTCCTGGATAAAGGGTGAGGTTCCAGAGGACTGGAGGATGGTGTCAGTGGTCCCAATTATCAAAAAGGGTAGTAGAGGGGACATGGAAAATTACTACCTGGTTAGCCTTACCTCCATTGTAGGAAAGACAATGGAAAGGCTCATAATAGTGATAGATCTATTAACTCTAGATAGGAAAGGGAGGTTGGTGGCTACGCAACATGGCTTCCGCAAAAACAGGTCCTGCCAAACAAACCTTGTGGAATTGTATGGCAAGGTTTCAAGGTGGTAAACAGAGGGGTTATGGTGGATGTGGTTTACCTGGATTTCATCAAGGCCTTTTATAAAGTGCCGCATGATATCCTGGTTGAGAAATTGAGGACTTTTGGGTTAGACCAATGCAATGCCTGACGGATTACGGCATGGTTGACAGACTGAAAGCAGAGGGTTAGTGGGAAATCATTGGGATGGCAACCAGTGATGAGCGGGGTCCCCCAGGGCTCTGTTCTGGTGGGCCGACGCTGTTCAATCTTTTCATCAATGACCTGGAAGAAGGGGCAACCAATCTGCTGATCAAATTTGTAGATGATACAAAAATGGGGGCAGTGGCCACAACTGCGGAGCAGGTACTCCAGGTCCAAAAGGATCTGGACAGAGAATGGAAGAGGGCAGGGGACAACAGGATGGCATTCAATGTGGATAAATGCAAGGTCTTGCACTTGGGGCATAGGAATGGGTGTCATACGTACAGGTTAGGGACAAGTGGCTGGAGAGCAAATGCATGTGCTGTAGAAGTCCCATCATCAGGCTGGGGAAGCAGTTAGTTCAACTTTAATTCTGACATACTTGGATAACAAGTTCAGAACACCCTACTGAATAGAAGAGCCTTCATTTCCGAGGTAGCTGTAGGGATGGAACGTGCAGGACATGGACGGAGGAACTTTCTAGGGAATTTTGCTTCTTCAGTGGTTCCCTTCCTCTTCTCCAGCAAGCATAAAGTCTTTCTATTCTGATTATTGATATATTTATTTTAAAGATTTCTAGGCTGCCGTTCAAGACAGAAGTATGTGTGTGTGTGTATGTACAACAAGACAAAGTTATAAGCTGAAAGTGTTTTGTGGGTCCAGCTCTCTGTGGAGCTGCTACAAGTTACTGGAGATGCTGCTTGCCTCCACTTACGCTCTGCACATGTGCCTAAAAATCAAGCAAGGGTTGCAAGAATGCTACAAGCCCCCAATACTTCCTTCCACAAACCCAGGTATGACTGCCCTTCTAATATTGTAAGCAATGTATCAACAGAGACTGGGTTTTAATAACTTCTTTTTCATTATTATATACATCTTACATTCAGTTGGAGAGTATTCCATAAGATTCAAGATACGTTTTTAAGCATGGACAGTACAGCTATCCTTGCATGCAGAAGATCTATATAATATTTGACCTTTCTTATGTGGTTTATGTCAAGGTCTGGTCATGCAGTATATGGAAGAGAAGGCAGAGGGGTATTTATAATAAAAATAGTAGTTGGCCCACCTGGATGTTACATTCCCATTAGAACTCAATAAATACAAAGGTGTCCAAAGTTGACAAAGTGAATTCCAGGTTCTGAGAAATCTCATTTCTCACCTCCGCTGTAGGTACTCCCTCTGGTGGCCGACAGTGCAACACTATCATCCCTTCAATTGGCACTTCCTTTCCCTGGGGGTCTTGCTCAAAGTTTTTGCGTAAATCTGCAAAAAATGTATACATAAGAGTTAAGGAGCTGGGCTAGTCTCATGCAGCAGATGTACATTCTGTGGCACCTTGAACACTGGCATGAACTTTCATAGGCTAGTCCCAACTTCATTATCAGCACAAAGTGGACAATGCAGATAAGAATACATGTACCACCTAAAGTGGAAACATAGTGTGCCTTTCTTCTTCTGGACCTCAAGGCAGCATACACATCCCTTTCTACACCTTATTTTACCCTCATAAGTAACCATGAGGTAGGGTAGGTTTTGAGATAGAGAGAGATTGACTAGTCCAATGTCACCCAGTGAGTTTCATGGATAAGTAGGGGTTGGAACCTTGGGTCTCTCCAATCCAGATCCAGCACTCTAACCACTACACATGCTGCAGCCCCTAAAAACCAAGCAAAACTATGATTATACAAGGTAACACTAAAAGATGAAGAAGCACTTGGAAACTGCCATATCATGCATGGATCATTCAACCAAAGTAGATGAAACTCACTTACAAATTGCTCACAAGTCTATGGCTGCTGAGAGAGTCAGACACAGAGATTAACCTCTGACCTGTGGGATCAATTCGAATGACTGCAGATGGAATAGCGACAGTCTGAAGTAATTCAAGCAGTCATGATTTGGATTGAGACCAGAGGACATTGTATCAAATTGTTAATTGAAAGAGCATAACAGTCTTACCCATAGCAGATAGATAGATAGATAGATAGATAGATAGATAGATAGATAGAATTATCCCCTGCAGTTATTGACCCTAATGTACCTTGCCCAGCTTTCCGAGCATCACTATTTTATTGCTATTCTCCCAGTTTTTATCTGGAATTAGTCAAAGGCATAAACCTGAGCAGTTGGGCATGTGTTTAGAATTCTTCAGAAGTTACATAATACATATTTCTGATCTTGCATTTTGGATAGGGGTGCAGGGAACAATGAGTTTTTGTTTTGTTTTGTTTTATCCATGGCAGTCTCATAATCTGTGTTGATAAACACAGGCACAAAAGGGGGTTGTTGACTCAGAAGTAAGTTCATTAAGGTCAATGCAGTTAAGTAAGCAAGTAGGCACAGGACTGCATTGTACCTTAAGAATGCAATCCTTAACTCAGTTACAAGGATGCTGCTTCCACTGAAACTAGTGGGACTTAATTAAGAATAACCATGCCTAGGATTGTGCTTCATGTCTTCTAAGTCTGAAAATTTATTAAATATTTCCTCCCCTGCAGACAACCTGAAGCTGTCAGAATCTCTCTCTCTCCTGATTGCACTGTGATGCCTTTCAGAGAATTTTTACCTCCCTTATACTCCCACTCACTTACATATGTTTGCATCCCTGACTCTTTGTACTGATTTTATTTTATTTTTTAATGAAAAGCAGCCTCGGGCTTGAAGGGAGTAAGAAATGTTGAGTGGAAATTAATTTAATTTTCTTTCAATTGTAATGCCATCAATTCAAGTGCATGTGAACACATTCATGCACAATCGCATTGGAAGAACACTCATTCCATTGAAATTAACAAGGTTCAATTCCAGTGTCTGGGATTTCAAACTCAGGTTGAAATCCCAAATTGCAACTGGCTTGTGAACTAGTGTAAATTCAATATTATATGGATTAGACTAACACCCTAATTCAAAGGGAAAGGATCATTTGTAAAGCAGACCAAATGGGCATAGTGGAAGTTACTTCCTGACAAACTTTGCTTAGGACCATACAGAATTATTGGATTACTACTTTAATTTTGGTATTTTATATCATTGCAATATTCTAGCTGATTCAATTGCATTTAAAACATTTTATTAATGTTTTAATTGGATGCTCCTTAATATTGTAAACAGCCTTGAGTTCTGATAATGGGAAGAGGAGAAAAATACTAATATTAATACTAAATTGGAGAGTCTGCATTTTGTAGGGTCAGATCAGTGATCCTCAGCTTTGTGCCCTCCAGATCCAATGGACTGTAAATCCAGTCACCACAGACAACATGACCTTTGGATGGGAATTATAGTCCAACACGTCTGGAGAACTCCATGTGGGGCAAGGCTACATCAGAGTACCTGGCTGTCCCAGGTTGAAAAGGCTGCACAGCCACGAACAGAATGGGTATCAATAGGCAATTGCCATCTCCTCCTCTGACCTATATCACAGTTGAGGATAAAACTAGTGGGGAACACCAGAAGAACTGCAGCTTCTAACAAATGTAAACAAAGCAAACAAAACATAGATAAGCATGCTTGGCTAGTTCATGAAGAGCAAATGTGTGCTGGGTGGGGGAGGATCCAATCACAGTAGCAGCAGAAGACCTTCCATCAGTTGCAAACAAGTTTTTGATCTCTCCAGAGCTCTTGTTCAGGCTGTGCATCCAATACGTGATAAGGGTGTTTCAGAGCATGATGGACATCCCAGAGTCAGCCATGTCTATCAGCCTAAGGATGGAGTGTTAGCTACAAAATGGATTTCAGGTTGCATGAAGGGCTTTTGGCAGAGCAGCTCTCCACCCTTAGTGGGACATGGGGGTGGGGGAATATACGTTAAAAACGAATGTTTTGGATCTGCAGCTAGAACAGGAGCAGAAAGATTTTTCATCCCAAGGGCAGCATGCACTCTTAGATTGTGAGCTGCACATGTGCACATACACACCAACACACCTATACCAGATAGTGACTGGAGCTGGCAGAGATGTGCATGGACACGCATAGTAACAACCCTGCTGGGTGAGGCAGCTTTTTCCCTCTTTGTCACGGTCAGTGGAGAGCAGTAGCTCAGTGATGGATCGGAAAGGCTAGGAAAGAATCCCATCTGAAACCTGGACCACCAGGACAATAGTTATGGATAGGCTTCTCCTCCTTCAAAGACCCAGATTTAGAGTTGATCCAGTATGGAGTGCCATATATATTTTAATGATATATCTAGGATTCTCACAGGCTTACGGAGATTAACAGCCGACCAGTTGAGATGGAACACGTCCTGCTTATGTCCTCCAACGGTGCCTTATATACAGGAGGTAGCATATAGCCATCACACCCAGGAACCAGTGACAGCTTCTCCTCCATGAATTTGGTCGATCCCCTTTTAAAGCCATCCAGATAGGTGGCCATTGCTGCAGGTTGGGTAGTGAATTCCATACAAACACTACAGCACATAACTCTCAACAGAAATAACAGGGCATCAGCAGCCAATGACAGACCCTGCACTAGGCAAACTGCCTATGAGCACCTAAACACAGCAAAGATAATTACATTCTTCACAAAAAAGTAACACATTCTTTCTGATGAGCAGGTTTTCTGGAAACCTGGAGATCATTACATCTTGCCCAACCACTTGATGCTTCAGCAGGAGCAAAAGGGTCAGCTTGTTGCCAGAGTTAATGTGTATATTCAGGACACACAAACTACTAGAGGGAATATATGTAGGCCATGCTTTGTCCACCTCTGTCCTGTACTAACAACTTAGCAGACATGCTAATAAGCTGTGGCTTCAAGTTACCCACCCCTTTCCAAGGACATAGAAGGTTCATTTATCCCACCTGTTATTTTTATAAAATTGCAAGGAACCTCTAGCAATCTTACAAATCTTCCATTGGCCTGTCTCATCACCATTATCCACATAAACTATCAGTACAACAAATAAATACATTGCATAAAAGAAGCAACTTTGAGAATGAAGAGCAGAGAGTTGCATCCTTGTCAATGGAGATACCTGGAGTGGTTATATAAGAATGGTTATTATACCAAGGCTATAGAAGGCTCCTTAGCAAGGACTTGTATGTATATGACACACAAGCATATTGGGCTGGCCATGGGGAAAATAAATAGTTCGGTGGAATGCAGGTGTTCCAGTAGCAAGTGCCAATGCATCTGGAGAACTTAAAACAGCTAGATCGATCCATCTTCTCCAATTAATTTCTTGCTCCAATTTCATGCTTCCATGTTAGGAAAGAAAATTCGTAGTACAGAGAAACAGTCAATAAAAATTCAATTCTGAATTACAGACCTTTGCAGCCCTGCAAAACTGGGGAATTATCAGCTTCTTCAATGTAATGGCAGTTAATGCAATGAAATAAAAATAATTTACACATTCCAAACAAACCAGCCAGTGAAAAATCTCAGCCATTTATAAACATTATGAGGCTGGTGAGCTGCCTTATTAGTTTAGCCCAGCCTTCCATTTAAAGAGACTCCATCAAGCAGGCATCTGTAGAAAAGAATGTGGGAGAATAGCGGTGCATGGAGCACACAGAGCAAGTGAACCTGTGTAAAGCAGTCAGTCTAGGGATGCAGGAGCATCCCTGTGCTTGCCCCAGAGAGGCATATGTTCATAGTCCAGAAAGGCACATAAAATGCTTTTGGACACTTTAAGGAGTGGTTTTAAGAAGGTACAGAAAGTTGTTTTCTGCCTTTGCATGCACATGGAGTGCTCAAACTTTATTTTAGATATTTAACTCTATATTATTGAAGAAATACTTAAAGTTGGTCTTTAAGGTATAGTTCAGACATGTCTTTGTCATAAGGGCTACCTAGGTAGTATTTATTGTAGGCTGTGAAGTGGGAAGAACATGACATTCCTGTACTGTGGATGAACATATTTTGAACCATATTTTTGACTATGTTTGCGTTATTACTTTATTTGTATTATTGGTCTGATTATGGCATATGTTGGTTTTGGTTCTGCTTCCACAAGTTTCAGACTTCTCTATTTTTGCATAAGTATATGTGTATGTTGGTGAGAAACTGATTCTTGAAGTGAGTAGCAATATATGGAAGAAGAGGACAAGGAGGAGGAGAGGAAGAATAAGAAGATATCAGCTTGTACAAAGCTTGGAATGCTGTATTAAAAGAAACCAGGTTCGTGTTGGATCAAGACCATTGGGATCAAATACAGACTGAGTCAACATCCCCCACAGCCGATTTTGCAATATAGAAACATAGAAACAGAGCAAGTCAGAAGGGGCCTCCTGGGCCATATGATGCACAGATCCTACCCAACTCACCAA